TGGAGTATTGCTTGAAGTATTTTGTGACCACTGGTGGCCCTATTCTTTATCAAACATCTGTCACAGTAACTGTGAATTGGTGTAAAATGAAAATCAGATGCTGCTATTGCACAGTATCTTCATACAGTATTTGTTGTGTGAAAAGCAGGGAACAACATATTGTTGAAGTAAAACTGGAGCTAGGATGGGTTTCTAGCCCACCACAGATATTTGTACGGGTGTTTTAAATAGCCCCCCAGTTTCACAGTCTTGTTTTTCAAAAAAAAAATAGGATAACTTTTTCCCCAAGCTATTTCGAGGAGCTAATAATGGCGAAGATCAGAAGATGCAATCTTTTTGTTGAAGTGGCAACAGCTCTTAAACACTCCTTTGACCTTCCGAAGATTGTGCATGAGCGTGGGGGTGACATCTGCAGAGGAGTGACTTTATCTGAAAGCATCTTAAGGCAGCGTTGAGCCACTTGGAAATGCTGTATACTCCCTTGCTGCATTGTGAATTCTTTCTTTTTGAATCAAGACCTGAATACTTCTCTCTCTTTTTTTCCTTTTTTTTTTTTTTAAAGTTGGCTACTACAGTGGAAGCTCATAGAAATAAAATTACATCTTTATGGTGTTTAAAAGGTCTAAATGAGAGTCAAGGAAAGCTGTGCTCTGATTGTCTTTATACTAACCTCCCTATCACCAATAAAGAAGAAACTTAGGTTTTTAACAAGGAGTTTGCTGTATAGTCATGTATTGAGTCTAGATGGGCTTCATTCTAAGCCTCTTCCTGAGTGGCTGGTTCATGTTTGTTGAAAGTTTCATTATAGAAGCACCCCTCTACTCTGCTCTCGTGAGACCTCACCTGCAGTGATGTGTTCAGCTTTGGGGCCCCCAGCATAAGAAGGACATGGAGCTGTTGCAGTGTCCCCAGAGGAGGCCACAAAGATGATCTGAGGACTGGAGCACCTCTGCTATGAAGACAGGCTGAGAAGAGAAGGATCCAGGGAGACCTTCCAGCAGCCTTCTACTACCTAAAGGGTGCCTACCAGAAAGCTGGAGAGAGACTTTTTGCAAGGGCATGTAGTGATAGGACAAGGGGCAATGACTTTAAACTGAAAGAGGGGAGATTTAGATTAGATATAAGGAAGAAATTCTTCATAATGAGGGTGGTGAAACACTGGAACAGGTTGCTCAAAGAAGTTGTGGTTGCCCCATCTGTGAAAGTGTTCAAGGCCGGGTTGGATGAGGCTTTGAGCAAACTGGTGTAGTGGAAGGTGTCCCTGCCTGTGGCGGGGGGGTTGGAACTAGATGATCTTGAAGGTCCCTTCCAACCCAAACCATTCTGTGATTCTATGATGTTGATAGCTATTGAGGAAACAGTAGACAGCCTCTTATGTAGTGGTAGAACCAAAGCTTGTCAAACCATTGGCGCATTGAAATTTCAAATTGGTAACTGGAAAGAAAAATACTTTTTCCTTGGTTTTGTAATTTCAACAATGTATTCATACTAGCATTCTCCCACTGCTAATGGTGGGTCTCATGTACCTCTCAGTTTCCTGTTGCCTTGCTATATTCCTCACACTCCCTCTTAATAGAAATATTTGAGTAGGCTCTACTTTTGTGTTGTGTGTCTTAATTCACTCAAATTGTAAGACAACAGTTGTGATAGTGTACGTAAATTTGTGCTGAACATGCTGGAATATTGATGCTCTGGGGTGACTAGTGTGTATTTCAGATGTTCAACTTGTGCATTGCAATGCTCGTTCATGAAGTTTTTGTTTAGACTAACTTTTATATGATAATTCAAATGATTTTCCTGTTGTTTGAAACCAAGTTATAAAATCTCAGGAAATGCAAATTCTAATAGTTGGTTAGGTGTTTTATCATGATTTGTGGCTGAGATTCAATTACTTGTTGACTGAATGCAATATCATTCTGATAAATATCTGTATGTTGAGTTAGAATTCACTGCACAGGAATCAAAAATTAGTTATCATTTCCGATCTGGTATCATTTTAGTATTGCTTACCCTTTTATTTCTTCAGTTAGGAGAGAAATCAAAGTGGTTCAAGGGATTACAGTTGATCTGTTCTGAAAGGATAGCAGGCATATGGTGGTGTGATTTCTTACCCTGTTTATTCTATTCTGTAAGCATCCAGACCGCGTGGCTTTGCGTCAGATTGAGCACTCAGTTGGTGTAGCGTTCTCATGGGAATATCAGCACGTTTCTTCAGTTCCTGTTTTATAGTTCAGTTACAGCTCTTCGTAGGGCTTCTGCTGTTGGGAGAATTGGTCCTGTGAGTTTCTGTGGACTCTAGATGGTTCTCTATAGATTTTTTTTTTTTTTTTGGTTATGTAGGTTTATGTAGGATGAAGACTCGGGTCTCATGATTCAAGAAGACTTTTTGGACTTTACTTGCAAACTTCCTCTTGAGCTTCTTCCGCAGGAGAGAAGCATTTAGCTTAGTGGTTGAAACAGGATAGTATTAAGCTTTATTCAAATGACAGGAGAATCCTTTGCGATACATAGCCATACATGTTTATTAGCAAGATGTAGTCTTTTGTGCTGTCATGGTAAAATCATTGACTTTTTCTTCATAGAAACTATCGAATCACACTACAGCAGTGCTTTCTGAAACCCAGTATGAGAGATGGATCCTGATTTTATAGTATTATTTTGAAATCATACAACTGCAAAACCTGAAGTGTTTTCACTTCAAAACAATGCTAGACCTGTCTAGGCAAGCATAAGTATTGAAGAACTTACCTAGATGAGTGTAGTGTAGAAAACTTTCTGATAATTTTTTGAATTAGTGTCTTACTCTAGGATTAAATAATTTGGTTTACCTTATTGTGACTTAAATTGCCTTATGCTCATATGACATAAATAGTCAAGAATTGTGTTCAATTGGTTCAAGATTTACAGTTTTTTTAGACTTCCTATCATGTATAGCAGTAGTTCATAATTGAAAATCACATTTGCTTGTAGGTAATTCAGTTTATCCCTCTGTTCAGGCTCTTTTTAAGTTTGTTTGGATTTTCTGCTTTGCCAGTGTAAAACAGGAAGTGTGATCTTTACCCTTTTGTTATGGTCCCTATAAACAAATGACATAAAGCAAGAGTTACTCCTGTTTTCAGGGTGGGCAGTAAACACTTCTGAGTGAAAAGAAATTGTGCAATTTCAGCATGCATTTATTGGATAACTTGTTTAATCAGTGCAGTAGCATACATACAGCATCTTACCTTGAAGAAAAGACAGTAAGCGTCTATGTAATGCATTGTTTGAAGATTCGTTCTAATTTTTTTACTGCCTTGGAAAGAAACATGGGTGGTACAAGCCTATTTTGAAAAATAGAACTATATGATAATAGAAGACTTCACATTACTGCAGCCAAAATGTTAGGAGAAATTTACACCTTAAAATTGCACAATGAAGTAACGCTGCTCTTACCTTTGTAATTCCCATAATCTGGACCAAGAAGAGGTTAGTCGAACTAAAACATGGTAATTAGGTTCTCTTTCTATGGTTGGATTTATAGCAGAATGCAAATGTAATTGATATGATTAAATCTGTTTTCTTCAGTTGTAAGTTCATAGTAGCGGCAGAGATTAACTATAGCTTTTTTTAAATAATTTTTCCACAATAAACAAAATGTGATGCTCTGGTCAGATTTTTAGACAGGAAAAAATGTTTTTGGCAAGAAGACACTTTGGTTTTCATCTGAAATAAGAACAGAGAAAACTACTAATTTGTTTTAAATAAATAACTATCCCTAAATGTTATTTCTTTTGGCAATCAGTGATTGCACAGCATCTTTGCACAGGTTTGTGCTTCCATGGAAAGGATGTACTGTAGGTGACCTATTGAAATAGGGAGATTGGAGAGAAGGAAGAGACTGCTGTCTGTCTTCAGACCCATATCAGTGTGACCAGGTTCTCCTTTTTGACAGATTATGTAGCACTTTACCAAAAATACTTTGAAAACCACAGAATCTGTTTTTGCTTGGAATTTTTTACAGCTCACAGCCAAGAATTATTGCGTATCTTTTTGGATACATAAAGTATTTGAGAAATACAAGCTTGTTAGTTGGAAGGTCATTTTGTCAATGTGAAAATCATTGTAGGCAGCTCTTAAGATCTAATGCGTAAGAAAAGAAATGAGTGGACAGTGGCCAAGCTACTGTTGAATATATTTACTGTTTTTGATATTTATTGCAAGATTTTTTCACCATCTGTACTTTCAAAAGGTATTGTAGAGGTTAAATATTTTCAACTTACAAAGGAACTTTATGACAAACTAGTCTGCAAGTTAGTCTTTAAGGATGTTAGCCTTAAATGTTAGTGATGATTTTGAGCCTGAAAATTACCTGCTTAAGTATTCTTGTCCGTGTAAGAGTAGTAACATGAGTCTTTTCTTACCCTTATCATCTTTTAAGATTTCATTATTCCACTACACTGTCAAAATATACCTCAGACATCGATAGGTTAAGATAAACCATCAGATAGCTTAGCTGCAGATGGTTGGTTAGGGAGATGATGCTCTATTTAATCTATTCCAGAAGGTGTATCTTTGTGGTGGATAGATGACTCTTATCCTGACTTCTCCCTCTGCATGGCACATTTCTGTGATGGAATCGATACAACGTATGATTAAAGAGCTCCTGCTTTGATCAGTGCTTGGTTTACGTATTTGCATCGTAACAACAGTCTTTGTGGTCTACAAAGAGAATATGCTCTACAAAGACAGTATTAGCCCTTCCAGTGGTCTGCAAAGAGAATACAACCCACTTGGTACTGTCGTATTTAGGTTTCTCTGCATAGCCTCAGCTTAAGAGCCCTTGTGTGACTAGTACTCTGTGGTGAAATTAATCAAATGTGATGTAAAATTTCAGTCTGAGGAAAGAAGTCCACATTTAACATTGTTTTGTGTGCATCTGTTTTAGTGGTGTGCTCCATATTGTTTGTATGCTGTATGTGCAGATAAACAGAGAAATTAACACCATCTATATATCCATTCAGGTTGCTGCCTTGAAGTACATACCATCCGTTCTTCATGATGTGGAAAAGGTCTTTGATGCCAAGTTACTGAGGTGAGCTGCTTTTGAACATTGAGTAAATGTATGGCATGGTTTATCATTGCTGTCAGCAATGAGTTCTTATTGATCAGTTTAAGTCAACAAAGCTATGCCAGTTTTTACTGAGCAAGACAGTGGTGGAACTCTGGGCAAGCGTTTTTAACAGGGGTTACAATCTGATTTACATAATGACAGAATTCATTATGGTGGCCCAATACTTAAGCAGTAACTTGATGAATAAAATGAGCAAGGGGAAAAACCTGTCATTTCCCCCCACCCCCCCGCTTTGTCTCTCTCTGCCCCTCCCTTGAATAAATCCTGTTCAGGAAAACCAAGTCTGATTTTAGCAGTTTGAAATAAGTATCTTTCTTTATTTGTCAAAGATAAATTGCCTCTACCACACACAAAAAAAAAATCTTTATGCCATTGAAAACAATGGAAAGTAGTAAACATTGGTAAACACAGCCAAAATCTAGTTCATCCTCATTTTGTTTCTCTTGAAAGTTTTCTTTCTGACCTGCTACTGATCTCTTGTCAATGTTTGTGATATGGTAAATAAGTCTTCAAAATAAATAAATGTTTAGGAATACATCATCTTTTACTCTTTCTGTCTTTCTTTATTAACACATGAGGGATTAATCTGTGCGCTATTTATGACGACTTTTCCTTTCCATGCAGCCAACTACTATATGAATTTTACACTTGCATTCCACCAGTGAAACTACAGAAGCAGAAAGTGCTCTCCATGAAGGAAATAGTACGCAGCAACCTTTTTAAAAAACAAGGTAAATATAAAATGCCTTTAAGGCTTAAAATAAGTAGGTGTGAAAACGTTGACTGACTTATGTTTTGTGCAATTAATGTTTGAAATTGAGTAAAACTAAACTGAAAGTGTGTGAATGCCAGAAGTCTGACCTCTGGAGAGAATTCACCTTTTTCTACAAGATGGCTATTGTGCAAAGTGTGGTTGCTAGCCTAGAACGAGGAACAATTTTGTGTGTTTTTCCTGTGATATAGTGGTTAGATGGATAGAGCTATATATATATATCCTTTCAACCCATTTGTAAGGTCTGTAGTGAAATAGGAACATGAAGTGAAACCTTGTGAACGCAGCTGATGTTATGTAAGGCCTTTGTCTGGGCAGAGGAGGAAAAAGTCTTGATTTTGCTGTAGTATAGCTCAGCTGCAATGCAGCATCTCCATTTACAGGAATGACGATGTTTCTTAATCTTTATCAGAACTTAGTGTCTTTCTCGATGCTCAGAACAGGAGTGATAAGTGGTACTGAAATCTTATTATCGGCCTTGTACTTAGTTTTCCTTCATATTATCGCAGAAAGGGAATTTTTGCTAAAGGAGTCCTAGCAGAGAAGCCTAGTTTTACATGGTTGACTTCACTGTTTAAGTGTTCTGTCTCCTCTCTTGTGGACCGGATGGCTTGCTTCTCTCAGCATCTTACTGCTGCAGATGACCTCCAGGACTTTGAAATGCACACGAGCTGCTCAGATGGATATCCATTTTTTCAGAATTTCAGTTTCTTACAATTCTTAGATAATGGTTCTAGGAACTTCACGGTACAACAGTAGGTAGCAAATAGTATTGAGCGTGAGTAGAGTGAGAGAGCATTGCGCTGCTCATCTCCTTCTTCTGTGTTACATTGCCAGAAGAGTAATGCAGAGTTCTAAGTAGCGAGGACAGATAAAAATTTGGCCTTAAGACGTGTGTTGCATTCTCTTGAGACCGAAATATATTTTGTAAGCTATGTGTTTTGAGACCATTCTAGATTTCCTGGACAAAATTAAGAAAATAATGTAGTTGGTTTTATTTAAGAAAATAATGTAGTGGATTTTATTGTTTATTTTAAAATAGGTAGTATTTTAACCTATATTTTTGTTAATAATTTTGTGGTCATCAGCTATGTTTTTTGTTGTTTTTTTTTTTAAAAAAAAAAAACTATGTGTAAGACTCAAGGTTGCTTGAATCAGTGGACTTCAGTAGCTGTAGTTTGAGTATCTGCAGACACTGCTCCAAGCTATTGAGAGCAGATCCATCTAGCTAATTTTGAAACAGATCTAATTCTGTATCCACAATTTTTCCAGTGGTTTACTGTATTACTGTTTTACAAGTACAGTCTCATATATCCTTGCATTACCAGTTGCTTTTACTGCTGCTGCTTCTAAGATCAGAGGTGCCAGTCTTTGCTTTATCTCTGTTTCTTGTGGTGAGTAGCATTGAGACCAGAAGGAAAAATACCCTCTCTCAAAACTGAAAGACTCTTGGGTTAAGATAATGCACTCTCTTGAACTCTTGGTGTTACTAGAATTCAGTCAGTTACCTTGACTGTGTTTAATACTGAGAAGTGTAAGCTATAATCTTTTTTTTTGGTATATGTATGCATTAGTAACAACCTCCTGTGCAGCCTTATAGTTATATGAGATACCAGCCTAAATTCTTGGGTTATAAAAGTTTTGGTTCCTCTCTGGTAAACCCACTGCTTTGCTATCTGGAAGAACAGTTAGAGACTTAAAGCATCTGGGTAATTCTGGTTCCAATAGTAAGGATATTACTGCTTTTAATCTGCCGTTTGCTAACTTCTATGCTTTTAGTGTGATACGTTAGTCTCCAGTCAAATGAGTTGTTCTTCCAGAAAAAACAGTAATTTTTTATTGTTCTGTCCTGGAATTTTAGAAGGCAGAATAAGAGCAGGCACTGCTGTGGAATAACAATGGCTTGATAATTTTTCTTTAAAGAAACTTGTCTCATGGAAATACTTTTATTTTTTTTTTAAATGAGTTCATGTATAAGTAGCATTGGTCAGGACAATAGATCGCTTGATCACATAATAAGGAATGAAGCCCTAATAAAAATCCAGAAGGAAAATAGTTGAGCATACAATAATCTGCTTCACAGTTCGATTGGCTTGCATTCTGCTCCTTTCAGTGTACAGCCCACAACTCCTTTTTTCCATATCTATACATGCTCCAGAAGAGAAAAGAGTGAGTTTTTGGATTCCGAAGAAGCTGCCATTGTAGTCTGCTTGGTGTGGTGCTAGTTTCGTTGTGTTTAACAGGCCTTTGCTTTAGCTGTGGTCTGTTAATGCAAAATGTTCTGTAAAGCTTTTCCTGCTTGCAGATAAATAACAATAGATTGCTGCTGGCTTGTAAATGCAGCTTGTCTGATGCCTTGAAATATATAGCTGGTATATCATGGAAAATTTCTGCCTCAGAATATGTTCTGAATTATAAAAAGGATATGTGTTTTCTGTTTCTATATTTTAAAGGTAGTAATGAATAAGAAATTTTGGTAAGAGGATTTCTAATTCTGAGGAGCTTTTATAAAAATAATAAGTGGTGCTTTTTGTGTACTGCTGACCAGATAATCAATACATTCAATTTTTTCCAGTCAGGTAGTGGATTCATTTAATGTTCAATTTATACATTTTAAAAAAAAAAGTCCAAAACCTCTCTGTGCTATTTTTCGCTAACATCAAACACTTGACAGCAAAACCAAGAAGGTGAGACCATGTTAACACCAAGGCAGCATCTAACACTCAAACCTTTTGCCAGCCTATCTGCCTTTCACTAGATCCTGTGTATCTAAGTAGGTCCTTGTGATCCAAACTGGTGCTGGTAATTGACAATTCAAGTGTATGCATTTGATAATACGTAGAAACTAACAGCTTGTTTATATGCTTATGGTGATTGTGTATGCAAGATCTACCTCAAAATGTTTGTATTGTAATACTTGGTATGTAACTGTACTGTAATACTTAGATGCTGTAGAGGAGCCTGGGGAAATAGATTGATATTTTTAATTATTAATTTAAAACAAGAGGTGGCCCTCTGAAGAATAAGTTGCCCAAAATAGAGAAATCAAGTTGATGTAGTTTTAAAGTTAAGCTGAAAAATGCCCTGTTTGGTATATAAAACATACCAGAGAATATTCTTGCAAACTAGAGAATATTCATTTAAAGATTTTGTACTTCGTTGTTTTGATGAAGTGACGGAATAAAACTGCTTCTTGCTGTTATTGTAGAGTTTAAAATTTATACATACCTGAATCTGACCCTTTCCTTTTTCCTTCCTTGCCTTGAGTGTGCCGGGAGAGCATCGTAAGAGCATCCCCTTTTGACCATCCTAAGTACAACCCAGTCAGGGTCAAATAGACTCTTGCAAGTGTATTTTCCTTTTCATGAGACCATTCCATGCCGAAGCTGTCATTCCTCTAACACGTAGAGGAGCCAGCTAACAATGTTAACTGTTGCCTCAGTGGTATCATCTGAGTATCTGTTAGGGCATTTAGTCAGTTTCTCTTTTGGATGTGATGGTCTTCAGAACTTTCCTTTCACCCAGCCTGCCCCTACGTTACTAATGGCAGAAAGTACAATTTGCAATAATGGCAGGGTGGTTTATATCTATCTGATATTTTATTATTATTTGCATTTATGTTTTTTTTTTGTATTTCTTAGCTTTAACCTTCAAAGTTGTAATTACCTTAGGGGAAGATCCCACAGTATGTTTAAGTACAGGCACTGAAGAATGTGGAAAGACCCATACACAATTAAGTATCTCTGATATTATAGTAGTGTGAAAAAGTTTCTGTACTGTGATATTGTAATATTGTGCACAGTAAATACCAAACAAGTCTTTTTTCTTGTACATTGCTGTGGTTTAAAACTGAAAATTCCAAAGATGCTTTTTTTCTCTACATTAAATACAATGGATTCTCAAATTAATTAGGTAGAGAACCAACTGTGTTTGTAGACAATGTCTGATTCATTGCTCCAAGCAATGAGGTGGAAGGTAATTTACAAGAATGAATGCATATGTAGTGTATTGCAAAATAGGATGCAGCATTATAATTAAGGTGAGATTGCCAAAAGTATCATTAACTAAAGTTCACATTTATCTAGAACAGGTAGTATTTTTTTCTGCCATGGATATGGAATATATTTAACTACATTGTTAATTACACTGAAGTCTATTAATTTGTATGTGTTTCAAATTATCCATTTTTCCTGCAGGCTTTAGTATTTAGTCTCTTTCCATGTAGTTAATTACACTTCCAGTTCACTTCTTTCACTTCCATTCCCAATGGTATTGTCTTTATAATTTAATTTGATTTCATATATTGGTATTTCTTTTCCTTTTCTCGTTGACGTTCACAACTTGTTAGCGTTTTCTAAGAAGTAGGATTGTGAAAACACGTAAATGTGGTTTCAAAAAAATAAAAAAGCCAGTGAAATTAGTTTTTATTAAATAAAATGTGGTTTCAAAAAAATAAAAAAAAAGCCAGTGAAATTAGTTTTTATTAAATAAGTTACATATGAACCTGAAGTTGGAAGCCTTGAGGTTAAGCTGAAGGTATTGGTGTGTATTCCCAGGCATTTGAAAGTTTTCGCTGTAGATGATCTTGGAACAGAGTGCTTTTGTGAGACAGGATGCACAGTCCTGTTGACTGCTACTGTAATCAATCTTCAAAAGCCCCGCAGTGCTGTAGCACTTCTGCAAGCCTTTAAATTACATTGACAGATTTTGTTGTTGTGGGTTTTGAGCCATCAATTTCTTGTTCCCACTCTGTAACTGCGTTATAGCTTAGAGAGGTTATGGTGGTTCAGGTGTTTGAGTGGCTGAATGTAGGAAGACCGATGGCTTCAACTGCTTGTGCACTTTCACCATAACATTTAGGAACATCCTAACAGGATGTGTGAGCAGGTGCAGCCATATTTATCCAATTTTGTCTTCAGACAGTATTATGTCCTTCTTGATCAGAGGACAAGAAATCCT